TCACTTTTTCATTACCAGTAATGCAAGAATGAATGTGATTTAATATGAAATTTTTGCGAGTTTTGGATACATTAGAATTCTGATTACATATTAAACAGAAATAGCATCTAGAACGTCATCTCAGTTCAGCGAAGCAAATCACAAATACATTTTATTTCTGAACTGATCAGCGCGTATTTGTAAGCAGGGCACTGAAGAAAATACATAATACGCAAACTGATTCGCTGCTAGCGTTGCACACATACATATGTGTTTACATTTGTACGAGCATATGTACTAAAGGTCTGCATCGGAATTCAGTTTGCTTCACTGTGAAGTTTTTTTCAAATATGTAAACTTCTCATACTCTAACAAAGAGGGCATGAAAGGCAGAGAAGTGACGATATTGAGCGCTGTATACATAAAAAAAAAGTAAAACAAATTATGTTCCGATAAAAAGAGGAACATAAATCAGCAGTACCATGCTGTTAAACTTCCACAAAAAAGATGTTCCTTCACAAGTATTTTTGGAGTATTTTTGGAAGTTTTCGTTTAATGCTACATAATGTTAATGTTAGAGCTGACTCTTATGTTAAATAGCAAACGTCGAGAAACAATGTAGGGCGCTCCGAATATTTAGCCAATTCTTTCTTACAAAACCTTTCATTAATAATAATAATAATATCCCAACGGTTTTTACCCTCCATTCCCGCCCATCCGCACGAGGGGCGCAATCCGCATGACGTACGGAACCAATATTTTAAATTTTTGTGCCGAGTCACGATAGGCAGGAGTTTGTTAAGTGTCGAGATCTAAAACTGTTCAGCTACAGAACTAAATTCATCAGCTGATTTTATGTATTTATGTCAATAATTCACTTATTGAGAGAGGAGAGTATCGCTTTCTTAATGCTGAAAAGCGGATCTGATATATCAAACGTGCTGGAGTGAGAGTTAAAATCCTGGCATAAGCAACGGAGTGGGTCGTGCATTTCAAAATTGGTTTTACAGGCTTTCAGAAATATGGGACAAAAGTGTCTTGATACGCGTGACGGAACATTAAAGCTTACATCAGCCAGAAGAGACGGACTTGAAATTGAGCCTGTCAGTAATTTAACCATAAAAATTATACCAAGCATTTCCCTGCGACTGGCAAGTGTAGGAAGGTTAATAAGTTTTAAACGACTCGTATAAGGTGGAAGACTATATTGAGAATCCCATCGGAAATTTCTTAAAGCAAAAA